CACTTTACCACCTGTTCAATCCTTATGTGTAAGATTTTATCACAAAAAGCCTCGATGTTAGAGAGGTGTATTTCTATTTAAACTGCTTTCTCTTTGGCCCTCTGTCTGATGTGGGACAAATTGTGTTTCAACACTCCCCCGCACGTGAGACCCCATTTTTATGGGTCACACGTGGAGATCCACACATCGGTAACCACGTGGAACCATGTCAGGACTCACCCATCATGCGGGGCCAATGAGGACCCACCCAATCACGTGGCATCTTTGGCCTACGTGGAGCCATGTCGGGCCTCACCTATCATGCGGGGCCAAATGGGGACCTATCCAATCACATGGTAGTACTGGCCCGTCCCTGGCTCTGATACCATGTAGAATTTTTCAGGTCGACAGGCCAGGGCCCCCTCCAACAACATTGATATTGTCCTCACTTTACCACCTGTTCAATCTTCAGGTGTGGGTTTTTATCACAAAAAACCTCGGTGTTAGTTAGAGAGGGGTATTTCTATTTAAAATGTTTTCTCTTTGGCCCTCTGTCCGATGTCGGGCAAACTGTGTTTCAACAAAAGGCTGATTAGGACCCATAACATAAAACAAACTGTCTCTCCAATTAGCAAACCTTGACTTATACAAATCAAAGTTACTTCCGAATTTGACTTTCATCACCCTTTCTCTGCTATAGTACACAACCTTCACCTCCTTAGGCAGCTCGTAGAACCCACGCTTAACGTCCAACATCTTCTCCAACACTCTATTGGGTATACCATGGTTCACGACCTAGAAGAACCCAACTGTCTCCGCAGCAAATCGAACTCCGGCAACCACGTCATAACGCTGCGCGGCAGTGTCAGCAAGGTCCACTATGGGGATGCTAAATTGGGTTTAGATTGGTTGGCCGGAACTTTGGTTTGTCTCCGGTGAGATCTTCCAAAGGGCAAACAAAAATGCGAGCGATTTTGGTGATGCTACCATCAACGATCCCTTTAACACCAGCTTTGGAGTCATTAAAGGTTTTTAGCTGTTGGAGATAGTCTTGGTTTCTTGAGTTCCCAGGTAGCATTTTCTCTTGTGCTTTGTAGTTTGGTTAATTTTTGTAGTTGGTTTCTTAACTTCAAAATGTATTTAAGAATAATTGCGAGAATGGGTTCGCTGTTGATTGCCTGGATGATGGTTGGAGCCATCGTTCTATTAATGTTATGAATATTGTGCTGATCTTGAAAACCCCAAACCCTGAATCGGTTAATCGGTTTAGGACGATAAGCCTTTACAACTACTCATACAAGGTCCTCTAAAAAATTATTGCCAACCAATTAAAGTCCCTCATTCCCACGATCATCTCGCCAAGCCAAATTGCATTTGTGGGAGGCCGCCAAATCTAGGACAACATCGTCATCGCCCATGAAGTATTCCATTTCCTTAAGCTCCGGAAGACTAAGAGGAAGTTTGAGCTTGGCATCAAAATGGACATGAACAAGGCCTACGATAAGGTTTAATGGGACTTTCTAGAAGCCACTATGCTGAAAATGGTGTTTAACCGCTTATGGGTAGGGCTTGTTATGAGGTGTGTGACGACTGTGGAGTTTTTGGTGCCACTCAATGGATGTCCGGGAGAATGTTTTAGGCTGACTTATGGCTTTCGACAGGGGGATCCACTCTCCCCATATCTATTCCTTATCATCAGCGAAGTCTTATCCCGGTTATTCAAGCATGCCTCTGAGATGGGATTTCTTGAAGGAATCAGGATTAACGCCCATGACCCTAGATTATCTCATTTATTATTTGCGGATGATACCTTGATTTTCTTGTCGGCTTCAAGGAGTAATTGCGAAAATGTTGACAGGCTCTTAAAGGCATATTGTCATGCCTTGGGTCAGGAGGTCAACACTAAAAAATCGATGGTGTACTTCAGTGCTAATACTCCACCGTCTGTTCAGTATGAACTATGTACAATTTTGAACATGTCAAGGGTGGAGGATCCTGGGACCTACCTTCATATCCTAATGGGGTGGGGCAAGACTAAGATGGCGACTTTGTCTTATATCAAGGATTAGGTATTATTGAAAATTCAAGGGTGGAAGAACAAATTTCTATCACAGGTTAGTCGTGAAGTGTTGATTAAGGCAGCGGTACAGGCGCTGCCAACTTATCTAATGAACGTCTTCTGGCTCCTGGATAGGCTATGCAGAGATATTGATGGGGCAATCATGAGATTTTGGTGGGCGAATTCGAACAAGGCCCGGGGTATCCACTGGTTAATTGGCGGGACATGGGGTTGCCTAAGTGTGATGGTGGCATGGGGTTTAGGAACTTTAGGGATTTCAACCTTGCCTTTCTCGCTAAACAGAATTGGCATCTTATCCAGGATCCCAATTCATTATGGGCTCCGGTCTTTAAAGCTCCGTATTTCGCTAACTCCTCGTTCTTGGAGGTAAAAAGGGGAGGCTGAGCTTCATGGATATGGTTTATTCTTTTGGAGGGACGGGATGTAATTATGAAGGGTGCTAATTGGTAGGTTCTCAGAGGCAGGCGGGTTTGCCTCTGGAAAGATATTTGGGTCTCGAGTATCACGAGTGGTCACCCTATTCCCATTACCAATGGCGCGATGAACTTGGAGTAGATTGTTGACTCAATCATTAATCACGAGGCTGGAGCATGGGATTTTGACCCTATTTCTAATGTGATCTCGGTGACTGATAAAATGGTAATTAAGGGAAACCAATTTAGTGATCCCGGGAAGCCTAACTGTTTAGTTTAGTGTGCGGACAAAAAAGGGAGCTACATGGTCAATCGGGCTATCAATGGATCCTTGGGCAAAGACCATCTCGTGCAGGCCCTGTTGGATCGATTAACTCGAATACTTAGAAAATGATTTGGGGTATATAAGCGTCTCCCAAGGTGCGGAACTTCATGTGGCGTGGGGTTCAAGGAGTTATTACCACCTCTCGGAATCTTTTTCGAAGATGATGCTCCCCTTCCCCTACCTGCCTAATCTGTGGTGAACAAGACGAGTCGACTAAACATCTTCTCCTCTTATACCTTTGGGTGGAGGTAGTATGGTTTGGCGGTCGCCTTGATTTCCAGATGGACCGAACCTCCATTTCATCATTTGATGCTTGGATTCTTGGGGTGAGGGAATGGGAATTATGGATCTAAATGGGAAAGAGCAAAGACTCTCTCATTGGTCACGTTCTCCTGCTGGCACATTTGGAAATCCAGGTGCGATGCTATGTTCGAACTGCGCCAACCGTCGCCCACTAATATTATTGCTGTTGTCAGAAGTGCGTTTGACTGTTTCCTTATGGCAACACGCTGCTCGCCTACGTCCCCCCTCCTGTAGGTGATTAACCAGTCCCTTCTGTGGTCCCATTCTCCCCCAAATAGGGTTAAGGTCTATGTTGATGCCAGTTGGAGGTCAGGGAAATCTCAGGGTTTTGTGGGCGTAGTTATTCGTGATGCCCACTGCAGATGCATCGAGGTGTCTTGGGTGGAAGTTGTTGCCTCAAGTGCATTGATGGAGGATTCTGTGGCAATTTGGGAGGGGTGTACCTTTGCCCGTCAAAGGAATTTGCCCCAGATTGTTGTAGAGTTAGATTCTAAGTTGGTGATCTCCTATCTAAACGCTCGCTTGAAATATACTCTATGGGAAGTTTTCTACATCCTAAGTTGTGACTTGGCTTTGGGTAGATCTTTCCAGGCTTGTACCTGGTCTTAGATCCCAAGATCAGCAAATGTAGCGGTGGACTTTGTTGCATCACATTATGTGGCTGGGATACGTAATTTTGAGTGGGTCGAAAGACCTCCATCCTCACTTGTGGGAATCCAATCCTCAATAAGGACAGTCTTCCCTGCCCCCAGTAGGTTGTTTAGTTTCGAAAGCGTTGGATCAAAGTGAATGTCGATGCTCAGCTATGTCTTGTAACCTTCACATCCCTCTTACTTTCTCATTGTTGGTATCTATCAGCCTTTGTGGCTTTCCTTGTACTTTGGCTTTTTGCCCTAGTTAATGAAATTTCTGTTTCCTAAAAAAAATGCATTTAAAAAAGAGAACTTTAACAAAAAGCTCCTCGTACTATTCACTTTAACAAAAAAAATCACATTTTTACACTAAAAAGTCAATCTTGGTACTATTCACTTTACCCTTTATTTTGTCCTTATCGTTAAAACTCAAAGTTTTCAAGCCCTTTTCATTAATTTTCCTTTTAAAAAAGAAGGTTGGCTTTAAGGCAAAGGATTCCTAACAGATCATTAACTTTTGGCCACAAGCACTGTTAGTCTTCAGTTTATAGGGATAGAGCATAGATAATTCAATGGGAATTGCGACAAATGCTACACTTGTCAAATATTTATACTATTATTTGTATAATCTCTCTAATGAAAGTAGGGTATACTAACATATATCAGTGTAATCTTTATCACGAGTAGCATTTTGTATTGTGAGATATATATTGTTGAGAATGTGAACTTTGCATGTGTTTATGAGCAATTGAATTAATTTCTCATATTGCCAATTGGTTTTATGGTAGAACCCCAAATTCTTCATGGTATCAGAGCAAGTTGTCCCATTTGTAAAGCCCAATTGTCACACGTGATCCACGTCACCCGATTTGTGTTGTTCATATAATAGGCTTGAAAATTCACCACACACGAGGGGGGTGTTAGGAGTATAAATCCCACGTCAAGGAAAAAAACCCATGTCAGGAAAAAATGGGAATTAATTCTCCATATTGTCAATTGATTTTGTAATAGAATCTAAATTATTCATATATGCATGAGACACTGTGATATGAGGTATGATTTTACAAGTTAGTGATTATTGGTATATGATTTTGAAGAGGATTGAGAATATGCTCTTATTATAGTGATGAACAAGAAGGAATGCCCGCGCGTTGTTGCGGGACTTGAATGCACCAGCCTTAACTACATGAATAAGACACATTTAATTTGAAAAAAAATTCAACATAATCATGAACAAACAAAAGGGATAGATGAGTGAACGGTGTCGGTAAGATAAGCAGCTTAGTTTTTATATACATTCAACCAAGCTGATTACAAAAGATGTGGTTGCAAAAAATACTCTGCTTCCCTGAGAAACAGAATCAACATGCATTTTACACATATAAGACATTTGATGTTAAACCTAAAGTCATGTAATTATGTATGAAGCGGAGAATAATGCAGAAAGATGGTTTTCTATAGTGCTGCCAATGACAATAATTTCTCATGAAAACAAAGAAAAGAGAAATAGAGGTATAAAAGAATATTATTGTTTATAGTTGTGAATATTATGAATTGCAAAATGAAAAACTACAGATAATACTTCAATCACAGACCTAAGCATCTAAAACGCGCCAGCCAAGATACCATTCAAGACAGGGCTTAGCATCGTGGATGAACTAACCTATCTGTGTCCCTGAGCTCACTGCATGTCATATACACCAGACCAACCGGGCATAGGAGCATAATGAGAAAAACTTTCAGCACCACTCTGCACCTGAAAAATGAGGGAGGAACAAATTAAAGCGTATCCTCACTTGGAAGAAAATAATGCATGCATAATCGCCACATGGACATCGCGCATATAAATTGTTGTGGCGATAATTTGCAATAGAAAACGTAGTTATAAATAAGATATACGAAATACCAACATTGCAATGGTATTTTTTTAATTTTTTTCCATTCGATTGTACTGAAGCATGCATCTTAAATTAAGTACTACGTGAGGTCTCTATAAAGAAATGGGAGATTGAATACACTCGAGGAAACTGAAAATTCAAATATGCACACACTCCATAGTGTATCTTCACAACCAAAAGAAACGTTTATATATACGACGTATGTTTGACATTGTTTTTCCCCACTCAAATCGTCTTGACAAAATTTGACTACATTGAGAATAAGCAAAAGAGCACTTTTTACTACCTAATTTACTAAGATCCACCAAATCTAAAAACTACAAAACTTTGATTAAAGAATCAAATAGAATAGCATGAGAAAGTTATTAAGACACCATATCTGAATTTTTTGCAGATAAAAACACCTGTATTGCACCTGATTTTCCAATGAAATACTGATGCTTGTATTTCACCAGTACATCGCTGCCTGACATTTGTTGTCTTCTTCAGGTTCAAGATCCTTATATTGTCTAAGACGTGAAAGAATCAGAAATCGTATACAGTTTGATAAAGAAACATGTAATGTGATTATGTGACAACCATGCACTCATCTCTTGAAGAGATAAATAAAGATACCAAAAACAGAGAGCCAATGTTAAGATAAATAGAGAGGCAATGTCACATTATTTTGCAAGATCTTGAAAATTGGGGATAAGGTATCCAAATTGCTAACAAAGAAGTGCAAATGGTAATGAAATGCTAAAAGGGGCGTTTTGAATAATTATATGATGCAGCAGTTGATACGTACCTATTACATCAATTACTATGACTAAATGACGCATCAATTCCATCATTATGCAATAAAAAAACATAGGGCTAACAAATATGATCAATCATTCTAACATTCTTCCTAGGTTATCCAATCTAGATGACAAAAATGGCTAATTTCTTTGAGCAATTAAACGGATTAGCTAACACTTCCTAAAGAGAAGTTCTTCAAGCTTCACATCTCTTAACTGGTGCTATAATAGAATTCTAGCATAGTATCCCAAGTGCTATTGGGATGACGAAAATGTCGAATTTCTAAATAGCTCATCGTATACTTGTGATTTGTGAATGAAGGTTTTGGATTGTTTTGTATTCATGAATAACGATCATATGGTTGACATTTATCGTGCTAAGTAATCACCAAATGCATGAAAATTAATTGAAAAATAAAGTATGACAATTAAGAAATTTATTTGTACTACCTCATTCAACCGCCTCATTCCCTTTTCCCCTACTAAATAAAAAAGGGGATAAATTGAAAAAATATATGCTCTTAATCGAGAACTTCATCAAATAAACAACAATAAAATCCAATGTAATTTGTCAAAAACCAAAGAGAGTGAGAATTTGAAGGCACTGTAATGTCCTGGGCATCGCACATTTGCGGTATATGATTGATGCATCTGTTGCTCAATCAAATAATTTGCTTAGCTAAAAAAGTTAATTTTTTTTTTTACAATAAATAGATTCACATCCAATTTATGAGAAGTCATGCAAAAGTAAATGTAAATGATAACAGAATCATGAATGTGAATAAGAAACACAAACATGCCAAAAAGAAAACCTATTATAGTGTGTCAAGTTACTTGCTACATATTTTTTTATGCGATTATCCATTTCGCATTACTTTAAAAAAAATTTCATTTGAAAAAGATTTGCTATGAATTTTAGGTTTGGGAAAATAATACCATACAAATTAAGAGAATTGTTATTAGTACTCCAAAAATCTCATTCTACACTCTAAGAAAGAAAAATACGCTTGTGACGAGTGTAGAATGAGATTTTTGAAATGTCAATAACACTTCCCAAAATTAAAAAACAATTACTAAAAAGACAAAATAATGGCCTGTTAATGGAAAAATAAACTCCTCAACGATGTATATGAACATGTGAGTTGAAAAATTGAAATATTCGACAACAAAAAGAAAGAAGCAAAATCAGAAGAAAAGAAAGAGATACTCACTCAAAAATAAAGATGTAATAATACCAAGCTTCTTCTCCTTGGTGTCCAGAATTCCATCGTTGTCTCCATCTTCAACCTTCAACATATTTAAATTACGAAATGAAAAAAACCCAGAAGAAATCATTACATAAAATAAAATTATCCAAGTAAAATTAAAGCATGGATAGAAAAGAAATGAAGGCAGTTTATTCAGACTTAATTAGAGACTTACTGAATGAGCTCGGAATCTGTCTCACACTTCTCTTCAACTTCAACCCCTATCCTCCTTGCCCCTGTAATCTGTACACATAAAGAAAAAGAAATCGACTTTAGAACCTGCATCGATACGTATCTTGTGTGAGTAGGTCTTTCCTGCTTTTCCCCAATCATGCATATCAAAGAAACGCAAAAGAAGAAAATCATCCATATATATAGTACTTTAAGTTTAAATGCATCCCAATTTTGTGTTCCAACATCACAGAAAGAATGTCTTGCACATAATTAACAATACACCCGGCATCGGTCCATCCATTCGTATTAATAGTTATTGTCTACACAAACCTTAATTACCTTACAAGCTATCATCATTGACATATAGTTCATACAAAATGAGACACCATGACCTCTCTTTGGCCAGCAATAGTTTTTCCAAAATGAAATTATGGGCAATTCATTGAATTCACGGACCCGAAAATTTCACCAATTCATTGAACATTATTTCTGAACTTCCTAGAAAATACAAACAGTATGTAATACCCTAAAAAATTTAAGTATATGAGTTTGGTATTCATAATTATGAATATGTAGAGAAAATCGAAAATAAATCGATTTATGGTTATGAAAATCTAATTGAGAAATTTTAAAATTTTGTTATTAGAAATTATTATAATTTATGTCGTAAAATGTGTCGATAAGTGAAAAAGATGAAAATGGCCCTAGTTGGTTTTACTTAATTATATGAGGACGTATTTTATACTCATACATATTAAATTAATTCTTATTAAATTTGGATTTTAATTAAACTAGTTACGAAATTTGAAGTTTGTAAATTAATTATTTAAAATCCGTAGACTGTTTGAGGTCACAATTTATATTTTCGAATATAGCTTGATCCCACAAATGTGTAGGCGCAAACCGTCTGTAAAACGGAGTTATAACGAACAAGATATAAACAAGCAAAGATTAGGGACAAAATGGTAAAATTATTCCGTTTTGCTTGAAGGCTCCAAAAAATTTGGGAGCTTTCCTGTTATTTTTTATCCAGGTGGATGGCTGTGATGGAGGGGGGTAGATGGACGGATGAGAGAAGAAGGAAAGCAGGGAAAAGGAGAAGGGGGGACGAATCAGAGGGGGAGACGGGAGGGAAAGGAGAGAGGGGGAGGGGTACATAACCCGGGTCCTCCGTCGACCCGTTTCCCTTTTGGCGACCCGACCCGACGGAAACAATGGTTTCCAATGCTTCCTTCGGCCAATTCAGGAACTTTACACCGAATTATCACTTGAAAACAAATCCCCGACCTTCCCTCTACCTCTTACACCCAAAATTTGATGGAAATTGGCTCGGGTTTGGTAAAATTACCTGATGGGTTTCGTGGGTGTCACGGCGGCGATCCACCGTTCCCGAAGCTGCCATCCTTGACCACCACCACCAATAGACTCCCCTCAACCTCAGGAACAATTCCCATGCATTGGTTGGGGCGTCGGAGCTATCGTGGAGTCGAATCAAGAACACCGATTTCAAGAGTTTCCGGCGGATCGAGGCAGTTTTCAAGTGTTTCCCAGCTGAATTGGATTTCAACCTAGGTATGAAAGTTGTTCTCTCATTGAACTCTACTTGCCTCTAAAATTTGATAATTTTTAGAGTTCATAAGAAAACTGAGTTTCCGTTCATCGGAAAACCGCTACCCACAGCGGCGCGTGGCCAATGGGCCGACGCTGCTTTTTCATGCAAATTTTGTTATTTTAAATCCGTAATTGGTACCTATTTGATGTGATTCGATTTTGAAAGCTAATGTTGAGTATTTCCATTACTAGAATATTTCGGAAATGGATAAAAGAATGAATGTAAACTACGAAAGGCTTGATTTCATTCAAAGGTACGTAAGCAATCTAACGAGAGTTAGATGCAGCCTTAAAAATAACCGAGATTAATCTTTTGTTGGAATTTTGTCTAAGAAAAGGAATTGGGTTAATAATTTAAAAATTAACCTTATGTTTTTGATAAATAAATAGGGTTATAGATTTTGTGAGTAACTAAGAATTAAATAAAAGATTTGTGATAAATGGTAATACATAAACATGAGTTTTATTTGGGCCTATCATAGTAATTATCTTTTGAAATAAAATTTCGGGACAGGGCGTTACACAGTACCTTAAAAAACATTTAATTTGCATGGTTCACAACAGAAAGGGTATAGATGCACCAATTTCACTCTTAACTTCAAAAGAGGAAAAAATTAGGATTAGAGTTTGATGGTTCTCACCCAAATTTAGTTGCTATCGAGCACACTCACAACCATTCAAGTTCGCGCATCCTCAAACGATCACCACCCGAACAAAGGATAAACATGCAACACGAAAGCAGAAAAGCAAAGAACATTCTCAACAGATAATGATGTAATCTATTATGTCGTTTAAACTCATACTTATTTTTGACAATCCACAGTCATTTGCATCCTGATTAAAATGAGCGTCGGGCATAAGCAGATAGCCACACACAAAAGTGAATTATCTATAATGAAAGAAATGGGTGCAGAAAGACGGATCAGATACACCCATGTTGATGCGCTCGTGAACCACACATATATAATCTGTTGAGTTATCTCAGCTCGGATCATTTTGGGAAATAATCATTATCCTCTTCTCTTCAGGGGAAGTGGCTACCATCAATCCATACACAAAGACTTTCTCTGTTTTGCCTGCTCTAAAGGCATGGCCAACCACCTGCCCACTCGCCCATGGGTCCAAGCAGGACACCAAAAAGCCTAAATCGAGGTGCGCTCACTAGACATATACCTTTTCCACATGCATTAACGGAACCAAAGAACACATTGGCGGTTAGATAATTGTTAAATGTATCCAACAATCGATGTGAACGGTCCAATGATAGATCTAACAATCCCTACATTGTCAGAATGTTTTTTTGTTCCATTAAAGTATGTGGAGACGGTCGATTTTCGGTGGGGGCATCCCACCTCATACTTTCAGACGTTCCACTTAACCCTTGGGTGAGCAGGCCAGCAATTGGCTGTGCGTTCTAACTTCCAAGCAGGCGAAAAGAAGATGGTCCATGTGCATATTGGCAACAGCCAATTCACCTGAAGAGAGAGGTAATAACAGTTGCTTCGAGAAAAAACAAATTGTAAAACCGCGATTTAAATCGAACAAATACCGTGGTTACCGAGATTTTTAAGTCGAGACCTTAGCGGCAGAACATAAATATGAAATCCGAAAAGGTAGTGTCATTTGAAAAGAACACATGAAGACGTCAACAACAAAGAGGTGCATGCATGTTTTTTTGAGGCAAACAAAATAATATTACAACATGATACTTGATTAACACTCATTTCGAAACTGACTCTGCAGACCCTAACTTTTATTTGAAAACACATAAAAACTACAAAATCACAACTCGCTTATACTAGATCAATATTTCGCTCTGAAATCTCTATTTTAGACTTAGTATCGAGAAACAAAAAGTCTTATATTCAAAAGATAACTCATTCATCACAAAGCAACAATACATTTACAATAACTGTTTAATTCAGAACATATGATTATCATGAATTGAACATTTCACGACCGTGTTTGATCACATTAAACAATCTGATTATCCATAATTACCTTAGCAGAAGCTTGAATTTCTCTGGCATTCATATCCAAAGCAAGTGCATAACCTTACACCATCCGATTTTTGCTAATCAGATTTAAAATTAACCAAATCATTAACAGCATCATTATATTAAAACTAAATCATTAGCAGCGGCATTATTAACTGATTAATTAAACTAAATCATTAACAGCAACACTATTAACTGATTAATTAACTAACCTTTAAAAAAATGGTTAATTAACAAACAACAGTAACAAAAATTACAAATTTACCGGCGACGTAATCCACGGCGGTGGACTGCGGAACATTGTGAGGTTTCTAAGAGATAATCACCGCCAGCTCCACCTCATGGTCCAACGACAACAGAAGGTGAGGGACAATCAGCATAATCTAAAATTATTTAAACAATTAATCCAGATTGAAAAGGTCCAGTATTTTAGTTCAACAACTCACTTGTAAACTGAAAATAGAGAAATGAAGAAAGAAAACCATAAATGGAACCCCAAATGCAAAGAGAGTGGGAGAGTTAAACCCAAAAGCTTAACCCAATCTCATTTGCATACCATTTGACCATATTAAGAAAAATATGTAATTTGCACCCCCATTTGACCATATTAAGGATAGAGGGCACTCACATTGTTGTAGTAGTACTCTTCTTTGTTATGCTTTTCCTCAAAACTGCAATAAAAAAAAACCAAAAAGCATAAAAATTTAGAACACAGAAAAGAAAAGGTTCGAAATTGCCATTGGAAACGCAGAATGTACAAATGGAAACCAAATTGAATTATTTGGCCCTCTCTCCTCCTCTCTCCTCCTTCCTCCATATATTGGTAGTTACAGTCAATCTGTTTAACTTATTCCCAACTTCATCAAAACAACCAAGAAGTATAAAACAACAAGGTTAATTCTCACTTTCTTTCATCAAAATGAATTCTACTTCTTCCTATCTATTTGCGCATCCCTTCAACACACTCTCTCTCCAATCTGTCAGTCCCTCTGTCCCCTTCCTCTCCTCCCCCAACAACCTTCTGACCGATACATCACCTACAGCCACACCCACCCACCCCCGAGCTGAAAATCCCGACGATCCTCTCCCTTCAACACGTCAACCCTTCTGTCCCCCTTCCATCTCTCTCCCCAAGTGAAATGCCACATCCAGCCCAAAGACCCAAAACCCTTTCTGAAGCCTAGTGGCAATTTTGTAAATAAAGTTAAATTCAACAAAAGCAAGGGGCAGATAGAGTCAGTGGCACTTTCGTAAATAAAGTGAAATGTACTCCAAAATTGCACAGTGACACCTCCCCCTACTTTAGACTAAAGTAACGTTGGAGTTAATGTAGGAGTTAAGAACAACTTAAGCAGCATGATTTAGAATTATTGTTGCTGATAAGCTTGCTGCAACTACCTTTAACATGGAGGGTTTGTAGGTTTGATTTATGTACATGTTTGTAGGGTTCTCATGCAAGGATGCGAAGAGAGGTCCCACATCAAAAGTTTATAGAACTTTTACATGTATTTATAAGGAGTTCAGCCATTTCTCATTTTATTTATGGTAAAACCTCAACTTCTTTCATCGCAGGTCTCGCACAATATAGCTATTGTTGAACTTCGACCTATATATGTACCCAAAAAAGTATGAGAAAGAAAATTCCAAGAGAAGAATCTAGATTTCCAGAGGATATGTTGGGGGTTCGTCGGTTCCAAATCAAGTGCTTGGTGGCACCTGTGATTGTCAAGGAAAATAGATGTTCTTCCCAAAAAAGAAGAAAACAAATTACATGAGGTAGAGAATGGAGACACTGAAAATGTATAATGTAGGTAGATTCAGAATAAATTTCGGTCTCGTATACCTTTTTTTCTCCATATTAGAGAAAGATATACAATAACAAAAGAGTAGAACAAGGATCTAAATCTAAATAATAATCTAAAATATAAGTAAGGCCATTGCTGGAAAGAAACCGAAATCCACAAAACCTAGACCATACATGTTTTCATCTCAAGCACATATACACGCGCTACATAAACACAAGATATCTCAAGCACATATACACTCGCTACATAAACACAAGATATCGTTTCATTGGTAAATAAACTAGACCATGTATGTACTCATAGCCAAACTTCATATCTTAAGATATTCCAATGAAGGGATCTGGTTGAGCCCTTTCCTGTAGTAGTGTGCAACAAAATCTTTCACTGTGGTTTCCCGGTAAAGTAGGGGATTTTCTTCCGATAACAACTCCTTGATTGGCGCATATAGTCTTGAGGAATTTTCCGGCGGAAGATGTTGTCTGAAAAAACATGCCACCGAAATTCTCGGGCCTACTTTTTTGGCCAACACCCTATGGTTGGCACTCATAAACCTGTCATTTGAGATTAGCTGCACCAATTAAAGCACATAAGTATTGATTATAAAGTTAAACAGTACATAACAATACCCTGCAATCCATTTAGTTAACTTGCCTGTAACATGTCTCCGAGATTTATAACTAGAGCTCCATGAATTGGGGTAACATCAACCCACTGGTTTTCATGAAGGACTTGGAGGCCGCCGATTTGGTCTTGTAGGAGCACAGTGAGGAAGCTACTATCAGTATGTTGACTTGTCCCCATTGTCAATTCTGGTTCTGGGCATGTTGGGTAGTAATGGCCAAATAAAACTTGTCCCTCTGCGCAGCCTAATTCCTTCAAGTGGTTGGGGTTGAGGCCAAGGGCTTGAGACAGCAATTCAAATAAAGCGACTCCTAAAGCCTTTACTTTCTCAGAATAATCAATCACTACATCCCTGCAATTTGGTCATTTGATAATCATTATAAAAAATTTATATTTCTTTCCCATAAATTGTTAATGGCAATTCTACGCAAATTTTTCTCTCAAGTGTGAGTAGAGGAAAGTTGATTATCATTCGACAATGGGCGTGACACAATGAGACCCACGCCCATCGACCGCACACCATAGCTTTCATGGGCGAAGACTTCAATCAACTGCTAAATTATCAAAATCAAATGTTTCTTGAACTACCACCAAAGTATGACTTTATGTTTTTGCAACGGTTATCATTTTTTCCCTCAACTTTCATTATGCATATCTGTTTGGGTTTGAAAAACAGCTTGGGTCGAGAATGAGTAATCTGACTTAAAAAGGGGATGATTACGGGCTAGTGGGCTTTCAGCCTAAGAGAGTCCTAATTCAACCGAGCCCCCATAGGAGTATGACTGTTAAAGGATCAAGCCCAAGCGAGACTCGGTCGAATCCTATGAATTAAAATTGTGAATAATCAGGATCAGTTCTAATAAGTTGCGAATTATTCTAATAGGTCAGAACTTCGTTGTGATTTAGGCAACCTTGTCTTCACGTTCTAGAATCCAAGGCCGAGACGTACTCCTTCCTCGATAATCGTCGCTCAAGTGCAGAAGTTAGCAAGGCATTTGACACCATCACCACTTCTATTCTACTTGTTTGACTGAGCTCTTTCACTAGTTAGCACACCCACATTCACTAGCAAGACATAATTAGCTCAACAGTTACTTGGTCTGCACTCCACGTAAGCTTTATAATTTTTGGAGTCAACAATTTCACATTACCTCGTTTTGACAACTATGTCCATGAATTGTTAGTTGTTGCTCTACCATATAGGTCAACGTGATATAAATGACATACCAACAACAGATCAAGCATCCATGGACAAATATTAACGATTGGCTGAACAAATTGTCAGACGAACCGAGGTAATGTGAGAAACAGTAAATCTAAAAAGAAAGTAATACAGTAGCAAAAGCAGAAATTAAAATGGTAACTAAAATTTTTTTCAGGGGTTGATAAGGGTTAATTTTTAATTAATATCTAGCATGTTTTGTCCTATAGCGTAAATTTGGATCTCAGATTAATAACACAGGAATTTATCACCGTCGAATAATTTTCACAGATACATACCTGCAAACTGAAGGCAACTCACCAAGATCGGGAGCTCGAGGAGCCATAACACAAGACAAAGTATCCCTCCAATTCGCAGCTGGAGCTTGGTAAAGATCAAAGTTTGTATTATAATAAACCTTCTTTGCATAATCGCGTGAGTAAATTTCCTCCTTCACTACTTGATCTTGCTCATGAAATCTTCTTATCCCATCAATCATCTCCCCCAGAACATGGACTGGAACCCCATGGTCGACCACCTGGAAAAACCCCCACTTTTCGCAAGCATGCCGAACTTGATCAATCACCTGCCTGCGTTGAGTTGCATCTTCTTCTCCGCCGACGATGCCTTTTAAGCTTATGACTGGGGTGCTGAAACTGGAGCCATCACAGCTGGGACTATTGCCAATGGGGTGGTGGTTGTTGATGATCTTGTTCTGCTCATGAATGAAAATTCTTGGGATCTTAGCCAAACCAGCATCTACAAGTCCCTTGACACCAGCTTTTGAATCATCGAAAGCCTTTAATTCAGTTTTCCGGTCATACTTGGAGCTCGTGACCTCCATTGTTTGATTTGTTTTGTTTTGTTTCCAGGAGTATATCCTTTGTAGACGGAATGGCTTTCAGAATTTGTAAGGGCGATATCTGAGGTTTTCCACCTACCCCTTAACTTAATTTGCCTGGGCCGATCACATCATATGATGGCTGTGTTGGAAAGTTGAATTTAGCGAGCCGGAACTCGTATCACAAGGCTTAGCTCATCATGGCCCAGTTTTGCAAGGCGGGCTCCTTCAACTCATCCCCGCCTTCAGACGAAACTATAAAAAATAAAGGAAAACTAAAAATCAACCCAATAGCTTAATACCACTGTATATCCTAAAAATCAGCTGCATTATTGTTTGAAAATTTTACATATGTTTTTCTTTTTTCTTCTTTAGCAAGGGTTTATTTTTTTTTCCTGACTAGTTGTAACCTTCTTTTTTCAATAAAATTGAAATTTCCCAAGAAAATAAAGCAGTAAAGAAGATAAAAATAAATATTTTTCTCGCCTCTAGAAGATCACCAATGTCGATCACTAGAGCCCCAGGGACAGGCCGGGGAACATCAATACACTTGTTGCGATGAAGAACTTGGAGACCACCAACCAATATGATCTCGAGTTAACCATTCAGAGTTCAGACAAATAATATTAGATACGGCCATGTGATGGTTGATTATAATATTTTAGTAATAGATTTTAGTTTGATCCTAATACCTTGATCAAGACTTCGACCTGGTCCGTAGTAGAAAATCAGTCTTATTATAATTAGGTAAGCAACAATATCATACTTGGACGGCAAAACTGCTCACAATCAGATGATTATATTATGGTTAAAGAAAATAAATATGCTGTTGCTAACGTGTGCTTTTCAAATTGGCATGAGATATTATATATAAAGATTTGAAGATCTATGCTCCTATTACTTTATAGATAGGAGCAAGAAATACTTTATAGATAGATAAGAACATGGATTACTCAGTAAATTAGACACGGAACACCACAAGGTGATTGCAAGTTTAGATTGAAATAATATCTTTTTCAAACATTATGGATAGTTCCATTGTAAGCCCGTTCTAAAAGATGCTAAGCACTAGTCGGATGGCGGGTAGAGATCTCGCGCCTAGGTGGTTAGGCAGAGCCTAAACAGAATTTATATAAATTTATTATATATCTTGTATATAAGTGCCTATTTACACTTCAAAAAAAAAAAGTATACTTGTATGGATTAAAAGAATGATAAAATGCAAAAATAGAAGTAAAAGAATACATAAAGTACATATATATGCATTTCAAGGATTCAATTCAATGGTGGTTGGCGTAAGAATGGCCGGTGTATATGCATTCATGTAGCTATTAAACGTGTAGTCGCTTAAAGGTGAGAGCACCTTAAGATATCTTTGGGGGTTTTGCCTAGATAGCTGAAGATGTCTTTTGCGTTAAACACTCAAGGCGAAGCTGCAGACAATCTCAATATTCACCTCTAGGACAACTCCGATGTTCGACAGGGTATAAGTATGGCTGGTTTCTTAATAGCCGAAAAAGAACCACTTGCTGGTAGTGTCAAGAAAGCCCTCCGAAGGGAGTGGAGAAACGTCGTTCATTGTGACGATGTGAAAATAGCTTGGGCAAACCCCAATGTCTACAGGATTACGGTTGAGTCGAAGGAGGCGGCACATCGATTAGTCAATAAGGGCCTGTGGTATGTGAACGATGTAGAAAAATAATGTGTGGCTGAAAGTATATTATTGATACGTGAAGAAAAGGAAATATATACAATTACATGCCTTGCACCACAAGGTACAGTCCCTACAAGATAGGAATACACTTATAATTAGGATTACAATCATATCTAGACTCCAACTAGGAAGCTATTTCTAACACTCCCCCTCAAGTTGGAGAGTGGATGTCAAGAACTCCCAACTTGCGTAACATAGTCGAAAGCTTATCCTTCCCGAGAGGCTTGGTGAATAAATCTGCCAACTGGTGTGCCGTACCAACATACTTGGTTGTGACTGTGCCATCCGCAATCTTATCTCGTATAAAGTGACAATCCATCTCAATGTGACGAGTCCGCTCATGAAAAACAGGATTAGCAGCTATATGTAACGCTGCTTGATTATCGCAAAATAATGCAGAAGGACCATCCAAAGGAATGTTCAAGTCCTTTAATAAATACCGAAGCCAAACTAACTCACAACAAGCACCGGCCATAGCCCTATATTCAGCCTCAGCTGAAGAAAGTGAAACAGTTTTCTGTCGCTTCGTCCGCCACGAAATCAAAGAATTGCCTAAGAAAACACAATACCCAGAAGTTGAACGACGAGTGATAGGACAACCTGCCCAGTCAGAGTCGCAAAATGCAACCAACTTGGTGTGGTTGTCTGAACGGAATAACAAACCTTGTCCTGGAGTAGACTTTAAATAACGAACAACACGAAGGGCAGCATCCATATGAGGTACACGTGGCTCATGCATAAAACGACTCAAAACATGCACTGAATATGTGATATCCGGCCGAGTGATGGTGAGGTAGATTAACCGGCCTATTAACTGCCGATACTTTTCAGGATCCTTGAGAAGTTCTCCTTGATCAGATAATTTTGTATCATCCATAGGGAAAGCAATCGGCCGTGCTCCCAGAAAACCATAATCCTTGAGGATCTCTAGTGCATACTTCCGTTGTGAAATATAAATCCCACGTTGAGATCGAGAAACCTCAATACCCAAAAAATATTTTAAATCACCAAGATCTTTTATTCGAAAGTGATCTCGAAGAAAAGACTTCAGAGAATCGATGGCACTAACATCATTGCCTGTAATTACAATATCATCTACATAAATGAGCAAGGCTGTGAAAAAAGTACCGGATTTTCTGGTGAACAGTGAGTAGTCAGCTTTGGATTGTTGAAAGCCGGCAGAAAGAATGGCACTAGTGAACTTGGAAAACCATTGACGAGAAGCCTGCTTGAGACCATAAAGAGACTTGTGAAGGCGACACACAAGATTCTCCCCCTGTCGCCGAAGACCAGGAGGAGGAGACATGTAAATTTCCTCATCCAAATCACCATGCAAGAAAGCATTATTAACATCAAGCTGATGGAGAGACCAAGACTGGCTAGCAGCAAGGGCAAGAAGGCAACGCACGGTAATCATCTTGGCAGTAGGAGAAAAAGTGTCATGATAATCAATACCTGCGGCTTGAGTGAAGCCTTTAGCCACCAAGCGAGCTTTGTAACGCTCAATAGAACCATCAGACTTGTGCTTTAGTTTGTACACCCACTTACAATCAATAGGAACTTTGCCAGGAGGTAAGGGAGTCAATGTCCAAGTACCGTTGGCATGTAAAGCCTCAAGCTCCTCATTCATGGCACGATGCCAATTAGGATCACGAGCAGCCTCTGCAAAAGAAGAGGGCTCCAAACTCCGACTGACAGCATAAATATATGAAAGATGATTGGGAGAGAACCGGTGGTAAGAAATAAAATTACAAAGTGGATATCGCGTACCTTTAACAGAACTGGGCTGCGAAGACGATGGGTGTGGAGGCAAAATCACTTGCGAGCAAACATAGTCTTTTAAATAGGACGGGGGATGGTGAGTGCGAGATGAGGTGCGAGTGGCTAGTAAAGGAGGTGGAGGTGCCGAGGGTGATGAGGGAGTAAGAGGGGCCGTGGGGAGGATAGGAGGAGAGGTGGAAATGTCGGTGGAGGGTGGGACAGGTGGGGCCGGTGGTGGGGCCGGGACTAAAGTGGGAGAAGCGGGTGGCATAGAATTGGAGGGAGGAAGAGGTGATGAGGTGTCGGTGACAGGAAGCAGGGGAATGGGTAGGGTCGGAGGAGGGGAAGGGGACGTGGGGCCAGGAGAAGGGGAATAGGTAAAGTCCGGGAAAGAGGGAATGGGAAGAGAAGGTGTGGGGGGTTGGGAAGGTGGAGACGAGGCAGCAAAAGGGAAGGAATCTTCATGGAAAATAACATCTCGACTGGTGAAGGTGCGATGAGTGTCTAAGTCATATAATTTGTATGCTTTTTGGCCATGAGGGTAACCAATGAAAGCGCATCGTTGGGCCCGAGGGGAAAATTTTGTGGTAGGATGGATAGAGGTGGCATAAGCAAGGCAACCGAAGGCGCGAAAATGGTGATAGGATGGGGTTGTAGTATGGAGGACCTCAAAAGGAGATTTATTATGTAAAAGTCGAGTAGGGAAACGATTTATGGTATAAGCAGCGGTAAGAACACATTCACCCCAAAATTTGAGGGGAAGGTGTGATTGAAAGCGAAGGGCGCGAGCAGTTTCAAGAAGATGTCTATATTTGTGTTCAACAACGCCATTTTGTTGCGGAGTGTAGACACAAGAAGTTTGAAAAAGAACTCCATGATCAGAAAAAAAAATTGCGAAGAGAAACAAATTCGCCCCCATTATCGGTACGAATGCTTCGAACTTGAGTGTGAAATTGGGTATTAACATAGGCAAAAAATGATTTGATTAGTTGTTGAGTATCAGATTTGTGTGTCATGAGAAAGACCCACGTAAAGCGGGAAAAATCATCCACAATAGTCAAAAAATAATGAGCACTAGTAAGGGAAGATTGACGATTCGGACCCCAAATATCACAATGAATTAAATCAAAAGGAAAAGTTGTAGAAATTGAACTTAAACCAAAAGGTTGACGAGTTTGTTTGGCCAAAGGACAAACAGTACAAACATGACTAGAATCAAATGAACAATTAAGGAAATTAGAGGCTAAAATTTGCAAACGGCTAGGAGAAAGGTGACCAAGACGTCGATGCCATAATGAGGATGGGATGGTGATGAGATGGCACAGAGGTTGACGGGTGGGAAGGGAGGAGGTAAGGGCCACGAGGTAATAAAGGTCACCACGTCGCTTACCCACACCAATCATCGCCTTCGAAACCAAGTTCTGCAAAACACACCAAGAAGGAAAAAATGTTACGGAACACGATAATCCATCTGTAAGCTTACCAACCAATAAAAGGTCCACTTTAAAAGTAGGGACACATAAAACATCTTCCAAGTCAATCAAAGAATTTAAACGAAGAGTGCCAGTTAAAGTAATTGGAGCAGTGTCACCGCTAGGCAAAGAAACAGGTGGCAGGTGCGAAGCAGAAGTATTAA